TTTGGTTTTTCGAGACAGGGTTTCTCTATGGTTTTGGAGCCTGTCCTGGAACTAGCTGTTGTAGACCAGGCTGGTCTTGAACTCACAGAGATCTGCCTGCCTCTGCCTCCCGAGTGCTGGGATTAAAGGCGTGCGCCACCACCGCCCAGCGACTGCTGTTTTATTTAAAAAGCCATTTGTATGTCCAAAATTATCCAACTTTAACCCAGTATCATCTTCTGGATTGTAAGGTTTGTGTTTTATATTTAGGATATGGTTCAATTAAGTGTTTGTATATTATTTCTGTGTGCACTGTCTCCCCATTGTTAGGGAAGGCTCTCAGCACTTTGCTGGTATAAGGTGTTGCCCAGTTCATGAAGTTTTCTTACTTAAATAAACTGCCCAGTGTAATCTGTCTAGTGCTTTAGTTGAAGCTGAGGACAACTTCACTTTTACCCCATACACGTGATCGGTCTCTCTCTACAGACATGATGCTGGCGGTTTTCCTGACACTCCCTAAGTAGAGGTTATATTTATTCCACATGAGTGACCTGTGGTTAGAAAACGATTGGCACTCACCTTTCTGGGTTTTACAGTAGCGGGAAAGGAAACTAGGGCAGTGTGCATGTGCGTGTGCGAGAGAACATTTACACTTGTATGTGTACTCCCTATCTCCTACATGTGTATCTCAGTCTCACCCACCTTCTACTCCCTCTTAACCAGTTCTCCCTAACACATCTCCTTCTGTTGTGGAATAATCTTTTTATATACCATGAAGATGTGTCATTCTAATTGGTTTAATAAATAACCACTAGCCAGGCAGGATTTTCAGTCACACAGGATGCTGGGAAGAAGAAGTGGGGAGCTGCCAGCTCGACAGAGAGGAAGCAGCATGGACAGTACAGATTAAAGGTAATAAAGCCATGAGGCAGAAATTAGATTGATAAAAATAGTTTAATTTAAGTTATAAGAGCTGGTTAGTAACAAGCCTAAACTATCAGGCAAATTTTTATAATTAACAAGTCTCCATGTCATTATTGGGAAGCCAGCAGTCTCAATGAAAAGGTCCAAGTACATCCTTCCCAGCTTCATGTCTTCATTGTTGTTTGTTTTTAAAGTTTTAAAAGTTGTATTTATTTTTATGTACATGAGTGTTTTGCCTACATGTACATATCATATTCATCGTGTATATGCCTGATGCCCATGGATATGAGAGAGGGCTTTGGATGCCTTGAAACAAGTTACAGATGGTTGTGAGCTGCCATGTGGATGCTGGGAACCAAACCTAGGTCTTCTGCAAGAACAAGAAGTGCTCTTAACCACCGTGCCATCTCTATGGCTCCTTGTTTAAAAACAGTAAAAAAATCTACAGAATACAATTAGTAGACATATGAGTTCATATATGCATGGGTCCAAAGGAGCATGGTCAGCCTGTCAGTGGCCTGTCCTTCAAAGAAGGATGACTCCTCCTTCATCAGCAGCCATCAGCTGCCATTAGCACCTCAGCTTAGAGTGAAGGAGGGGTGTGGGGAGAGACAGTAGCACACCAAACTATCTTTTTCATGGTTCTTAATAGACATTAATTAACCCTTTCTCATCCCTTCCCTCCCTATGTTCCCGGGACTCAGGGAACCAGTATTCTACTCTTCTTACCTTCTGTGAGATAAAGATTTTAAAGATGTCACATGTGAGATCATGAGATGTTTGTCTTTCTATGCTTGGCTCTGTTCAGTTATTATAGTGATCTCCAGTTTAAAGTATGTTGTCAGAAAAAATAGTTCCATTGTTTTTTATGGTGAGTAATAGTCTGTTGTAATATATGACACATTTCTTTTATGTACACTTTGGCTGTTTCCGTTTCTTAAAAACTGGCATTTTTAACTGGCTTGATACTGTATAGGTCCATGTGCAGTTTACTGTAGTTCCAGGGAGTTGATGTGTACAACAGCCATGTCATGTCTAGAAGTCAGCATTCCGCATGCACTTGACACCAGCCTGAAGCTCTTACACCCTTTCTGCTTTTTTCTGTATGTCCCATGAGCTCATTGGGAGGTGGATATAGATGGTCTCTGGCTGAACACTCACAAAGACTTACTTGAATAGCCAATAAGTCTCAGAGTTAACTACTGCCCTCTACAAGAAGCTTCTTTGACCAAGACTGAGACCATCACACATACATGAATACAAAAACACAAGTATTTAGAAGGTAGTTTTATATTGTGTCTCTTTAACAAAGCAATACTTATAAATTCTCCCTAGGGCCTAAGACTTCAGTAGTCAGGTGATTTGATCGTGTTTACAGCACCGAGCATAAATGTCCTTCCGTGGGGCAGGTCTCAAATTCCACTGAGAACGTTTGGGTTAACCCTGCAACAGTCTCGCCACACTGCACTAGTGGGCACATTTTCCCTGGCACTGTAGCATGCGTGGTTGAAAGCTGGGAGATTTACTGTGCACCTGTCATGTCTCCACTTCTGGTGAGGTGTAGTCCCTTGAAGATGGGCTTCTTAGTGTTGGGAAGGTATTGGAGTTGACTGAACTGTAGAAGATGTTCTGGTTGGAGCCAGTAAGGATGACAGCTACATCTTGTTGAAGATTTTGGCCTAGAAATGTTTCTTCCTCACTGTTGTGATGCCTATGTCTGTCAAAGCCATAAAATATTCTCAGATGAGAGTGTTTTTTTTTTTTCCTGCTGTAGGATGTCTTTCTGCATGCTGTGAATATATGTTGTTTTCATTAGTTGATAAATAAAGCTGCTTTGGCCTAAGGTAAGACAGAGTATAGCTAGGCAGGAAATCCAAACAGACAAACAGGAAAAGAAAGGGCAGACTCGAGAGATGCCAGCAAGCCACCCATAGAACAGGATGCCAAAACACCTAAGATAATGTCACAGCCATGTGGCACTACATAGATTAATAGGAATGGGTTAATTTATATGCAAGATCTAACCAGTAATAAGCCTGAGCCATTGGTCAAACAATTATAATTAATATTAGCTTCCGAGTGATTACTTTATAAGAGGCTGCAGGGACTGGTGGGCGGGAGATAAACCAGTCCAGCGGGACCGGGTGGGACAGAGAAAAGAATCCAGCTACACTTTCTCGTATTCTTTCCTGTCAGTCTAGGGAGATAAAGGTATAAGCTGACAGCTGTAGCTGCTCACAGCTGGGTTAAACATTAATGCAGCTATCACCACAGCCCAGAACAGCAGGCGTCCCAAAGCCAAGTTTCAGAGCTGCCTGGTGCTCCTAGACTAAGGAGTGAGCTGCAGACATGGCTCACTTTGCGCAGCTCATGGCTGAAGTGGGCGACTTTGGTCGCTTCCAGGCAAAGGTGACCATCCTGATGGGCATCCCCAATTTCCTGTCTGCCTTCTTCGTGTTTAGTCAGGTCTTCATGGTCCTCGATGAGGCTCACCACTGCTCAGTGCCCTGGGTCAAGAACCACACTCTCAACCTAAGTGCTGCAGAGCAGCTGGCAATAAGCATACCCAACGACACAGCGGGCAGACCTGAGTCCTGCCTCATGTTCCAGCCACCTCCTGACAATGCCAGCCTGGAAGACATCCTCAGCCACCGCTTCAATGAGACACAGGCCTGCGACTCAGGCTGGGAGTATCCTGAGAACAGGCCTCAGTCCCTAAAGAATGAGGTAGGATTGCCTGTTCTCTGTCTTTCATAGGTCTGTCTAGTCATCTGACTCTGTGCCTTTGGTCCATACTTGTTGTCCTTGTACCTCTTTGGGTTGTATACCTAATTTTCTCCTTTGCCAGTCATCTTGGTCCATTATCCTTGCTGGGCATCACAGGGCAGGCTACAGCCATGTGCCGACCTTGGGCTCTGTATGCCCCTTGATTGCATGAGCCATTCTCATGTTTTCTGTATGCTCTGCTGCCTCCCCCCTTTTTTCTTTTTGCATGTCCTCTTGTCTGTATCTTTTGGCTTGTCTCTCTGTCTGTCCAGCTGCCTGCCTGGATTTTCTACACTCTTTTCCCTACCTGCTATTCTCTGTCTATTTCATAAGATCTGCCCCACAACCTCCCTTCTGTCCTGATTTATGCTGTCTCCCTTCACGTTTGTTCACCGACCTAACTGCATGCCCACAGTGCTTTACTGCTTTTTGACTTGTACTTAGTTCTGTATATGCATGCTTGCCTCTGTCAGAAGTCAACATATGTAATTTTAAATAGACTGTGTTCAGTGAATTTACCCCGGTGCCAAGGCTGGCCCTGACACACAGTGAGGAAACCGCAGGGTTTAGACGATAAAGTTGGTCCTGGCTGCTATGCCCAGTCTTACATACCCTATTTCCATTTCAGTTTGACCTGGTGTGTGATCGGAGGAACCTGAGGAGGACTTCACAGTCGGTGTTCATGGCTGGCCTCCTTGTTGGGGCCCTCATTTTTGGGCCCATCTGTGACTGGTAAGTGCAGCTGATCCAGGGTGTTTTAAGCTCCTGGTGCTGAGTTACCCCCCCTGGAGACTTGTTAGCCATCAAGATAAATCTTTATGCTTGCCTTCAAATGGGGCTCCATGGAAGACCCCGTCTTCCCCTCTGACAGAGAGCCGAGGACAGGCCGGCCTGGGTCTCCCTTGATTGAGTCCTGGGCAGGCCTTCTCCCTTCACAACCTGTCTCTCTGTTACCTCAGGATTGGCCGCAGAGCCTGCATTCTGGTGCAGCTGTTTATGTCAGGCATCATGGGCGTGGCCACAGCCTTCGTGCCCACCTTTGAGCTCTACATGACTTTCTGCTTTCTCTCAGCTACTGCTGTCTCTGGATACATGATGAGCACTATGATCCTTAGTGAGTATCTGGGCCCCGTGGCCTTCAGGTGCAGTCTGAAATCTGAGATCTTGAGAGCCCCTGAACAACCTGTGGGGATAGTTTCACTCATCTGTACCTAAGGAGGTCATGGCAGAGCTTCCTCTGCTGGGAAGGTGCACGGCACTTAAACAAGATACCATCTGGCCATCAGCAGTGCATGGGTGGGCAGATTCCAGCCCAGGCTCAGTCTTTGTTCTCAGTTTCAGAATGGGTGGGGCCGTCCAGGAGAACACGAGCCATGGTCCTGTCCCAGAGCAACTTTGCCTTTGGCCAGATGGTGCTAGCAGGCCTGGCCTATGGTGTCCGCAACTGGAGACTGCTTCAGATCGCAGGCACCGCACCAGTCTTCCTGCTCGTCTTCTACTTCTGGTAGGGAGCTGTGGCGGGGTGCAGGACCCAGAAGAGGGGACCCGTGGGGCTTGGGCGGGAGGCTCATTGTGCACTGGAATTCTGGGTGGCTGCACTGGGCTCAAGACCCCAGTTATCAGAGCCATGTGTGGTTGACAGGGTTTTGCCAGAATCTCCTCGGTGGCTCCTCTCCAAAGGAAGGATAGAGGAGGCCAAACAACTGATCCAGAAGGCAGCCTTGGCGAACAGGCGGTCCCTTTCTCCAGAACTCCTGAGCCAGGTACCTGTCAGCAGGCACAGGCTCCCCCCTGCCTCAGGCATGTCTATGCTTGTGTCCTGGCCCCTCACTGTGTCCTTCTTCTAGCTGACCCCTGAGAAGACAGGTCCCTCGGGAAATGCGCTGGATCTTTTCAGACACCCCTATCTCAGGAAGGTGACACTGGTTCTCATTGCTGTCTGGTAAGTGTCCAGGGTCTTGTCCCTCAGTGAGGGCTGAGTCAGAGGACCTCTCTTGCTCTGCTGTATTTCACTGGAGTGGTGGACAGAGGCTCTGTGAACATGGTGGTTTCTCCCCAGGTGTGAGTTCATTGAGTTAGGCTGTTCCTTTGGGTGTGACTTGATGTACACCCAGCAATGACAAGGACATTTGGGTACTTTGTAGGTTTGTGGACAGTCTGGTGTACTATGGCCTTGGTCTCCAAGTGGGGGACTTTGGCCTGGACATCTACCTGACACAGCTGATATTTGGACTAGTGGAGGTGCCCGCCCGTTTTTCCAGCATCCCCATAATGGAGAAGCTGGGTCGCAAGTGGAGCCTGTCAGGTTCCCTGACTCTGGCTGGTACTATGTGCATCATCATCATCTTCATCCCAGCAGGTACCAGGTTGTCTTCCTCCCTGCCAGGGCTACCCCCATTGCTCCCACACCGTTACGGGTTCCCCAGGGTTTGGGCATGGAGGGTGAGACATTTGAGTGACAGGGAGGTGCATGGGCTTAGGTGATGGTGTCTTCCCCCTATGTGGCTGACCTTGGCTCTCCTTCAGGTCTCCCCACGGTGGTCACTGTGCTGGCTGTGGTGGGAAAGTTTGCGTCATCTTCTGCCTTCACCATATCCTATGTGTACACTGCTGAGCTGTACCCCACCATCATCAGGTAAGCACTGCCCTGGGGATCTAATACCACCCATTCCTCTGATGCTCTGCTACCAGCCACTGGCAGCCAGTGAGCTGCCTATGAGGCCACTGAAGTGTAGGTCTGCTCACCGAGTCACCACAGGACACTGGAGGACAGATAGACATGAGCATGCCCTGGCTGTCTCTGGACCAGAATGTGGGAGAGAAGTTAGAGCAAAGGAGAAGTTAGAGTGCCAGGAGAGGGCACTCGGAAATGGAAAAGGCATTTGGGTCTCTAGAGGTGGCAGGAGAGCAACAGAGAGGGCTTACTACTCCAGGAAGCAGCTAGAGTAGGCAGGCACGGTGGCTGAGACCTGGGTCCTCACATCTCTGGAGTGGGTGTAGCCTGACCAGCGGCCAGAGCCTCAGCTTGTGATGCTTTCCCCAGGCAAACAGGCATGGGGCTGGTGAGCATCTTCTCCAGGATTGCTGGCATCATCACACCGCTCGTGATGCTGCTGGAACAGTACCACAGGGCTGTCCCCATGGTCATCTTTGGCAGCTTCCCCATCGTGGCAGGCCTACTGTGTGCTCTGCTGCCTGAGACGAAGGGCCAGACCCTGAAGGACACCATCCAGGACCTGGAGAAGGGGCGCCCCCTGCGGTGAGCACTGACTTACTGGACCTCATTATGGCCAGGCTTTTCCATCATCGTTACCCCTTTATTGATTACTCTTTGCTTACTGGGCAACATGGTGCCCACTTCATGCCACAGATTCTTATTTTAGGTCATTGTCCTCCTACAGATGTTGATGGGAACTCCTCATAGGAGCTCACCTGAGAGTGCCACTGACTGCTGTTTCTCCTTGCAGATCCTCAGTGAAACAGTCCCCTAAGAAAGAAATGGCGGCTGAAGGAAGAAATCCTCTGCCCACGAGTACCCTTTGCAGTGCTTCTTCCTCCAATTATGGTCGTTAGGGGTGTGTTCATTTACAAGAACAAATCACATGGTGTCTGTCTATCCCTGGGGTTTGTTTCGAGGTAGGGACAAGACCAACTTGTTGTAGATCATACCAGCCTCCCTGCTTAGCTCTGTTGTCCAGTTACATGTTTGAGTTACAATCCTTTGTCACTGTGTGTCTTTGTCTTTGCCTCTTGGTGTCTGTGCCATGTCTTGGTGAGTAGGATCACAGAGGAAGAAGGATATGCAGATGTCAGATGTCGCAGCACAAGCCAGGACTCAGGGAAGTGCCGGTGGCAGTCCCTCCCTTGGTCCCACCAGCTTTCCTAGTGTCCAAGATGAGAACCCTCAGGGAACACTGCGAAACTGTTGCCAGCCTGTCTCAGATTGTTGATAAACCTCCCTCCCTCTTCATGCTCGGTCAGTCTCTTGTCAGGTGGGCGTGAGCAGGGCTGTACCGTACATGTGCAGCCAGTCCTGGATAGTTCGTACTGTCCTTTTTTGAAATTGTGGACAAACATGTTCTTCAGCTTCCTACCGTCACCATCCGGAGTTTCCTGCTGTATGTCCCTTTAATAAAAAGAGAACCTGCAACAATGGAGGAGTGCAATTTAAGGCTGAAGCTGTTTGCTTCTCTGTGTGATGTGATGTGCGCCTCCCTTGGCAGTGGTTCTCACTCCTAGGAAAAGACTTAAAGGGATCCTTTATTGACATAGCAACATTACAAGGGTGTTCCTGTTGCTTTTGTTTGTGTTGTTTTCTAGTATGAGCTGTTTTCCCAGACCTGCCTTTGGGGTCTCTGTAGACATTATCTTTTCCATTTGTTAGGGATTGCATGTCTAATGAGAAGTGTTTCGCTGTGCAGTGGTTATGCAGTTCTTGGGCTCTTGAAAACAGTTCGCAGGAGAAATACAGGCGTATGGGACTTTGTGCCAGAGTATCCCTAAGATACCATAAGCAGAGCTTGTGAGAGAAAAAGGCCAAGAGAAACCAGGTAGTCTCCTTCAACTAGAGAGGTTTCAAAGGCAAAGAAAGACTCCCCTGCGAATTGGCTGGATGCCTGTATTGATTACATTCTCTCCAAGAGTTTGGCTGCATTCTCTCCCCCAAGAACTTGAGCGAAACTGAATGCAAACACGTTCTTTTTCTTCAGAGATTCCAGGCAGTGCACTCTCAGGCTTTAATGTAGCTGTTGCTCATATGTTCACATCTACAGTGTGAGTGAGCAGAAAGATAAGAAACGTGACCTTTGGGAGTGTGTGTGAGCCATTTCAGGCCACAGATAAGGAAAGTGCAGGCCAGGCACCACAATGAAATGTTAGAGGAATTAGCACCGTTAAAGAGCAACCCAATCTCTTCCCTGATACAGTACGACAGGTAGCCTTAAAGCTGAGCCCCCACCTGCGAAAGACTGGGATTTGTGAAAATACAAGTTCATTCAAAGGAAGACCCTGCACTAAGACACTGAAGGAGTTTCCTGCTCAGAAACTGTGAAATAAATGCTCCTCCAAGGATGAGCATGCAGAGGACACTACAGACTATACCTCTCATCCAAGGGGACTAGGCTACATCTCAAGCTGGCTGCAGGACTTGGCAGCATCATGTACATGGTACAGGTTCTGTAAGCACAGAAGATACAGATGTGAAGGGACATGGAGGCTTTAAGCAAGGTTCCAGAAAGCTTCTGAAGCCAAGTAGGATGTAATAGGATGTAAGAGCCAAGGAGGCTCTTAGGGACCATGACAAATGTCTGAGGGTGAAGAAAGCATCCAACAGGAGAGAAGAGGCAGCTCAAGTGAGAAGTTCAGGGTGGAGGGTGGGGCCACACAAGGCCATTGCTGGAGCTCAATTGGGTGTTCTTGTAAGTGTCCTGGTCTTGGTCTGCTGCTGGGTTAAGATCTGTCTTTATCAGTAGCTAATTGAGGGTCATACCAGTTTGTTGTAGATCATGTCCTCTAGGCATGACATGGCCACATCAAAGCAGCTGGGATTCCCAGTGTGAGACATGATAAGAGAGGCCCTACTGGACCTGAGATTTCAGTAGCTACACGCCTCTTCCCTCCAACTAGTGTCACATAATCTGTCCCTGGTGTGTGTGGCCTTTGGAGGTGCTAGAGTATGCAGAAGGATGAAGGTTCATGTAGTACGGACTCTGTTTATACAGCTATTCGGTTATTGCTCATCTAGGATTGAACTTTTCAGTATGCAACTGTTGAAGGTTATCCACACCTGTAACACCTCATTCATAACCTGCTCTGTAAATAACTCACTAGTTTATCAAAGTGGATTTGGGTGGATTCTTTCTCTGTTTTAGGCGTGGTGGTCTGTAGTGTGAACAGATGTTTGCTTGTCCCTCCCTAGGAAAGTAATGCCATAGTGTGTTCTTGTCTGTATCTCGACGGGCACAACAGAAGGGGCTATACAGGGAAAGACATGGTAGCAGTAAGACCGCTGCTCTGTTCTGTGGTTTCATTGTGGAAGCTGGTACAGGATTCAGAACTCAAACACAGGAGCAGGAGTCTCCCCAATCCAGATGACAGATTTACTATTTTATAGTGGCAATTTCACCTAGTGCGGTGGTTTGACTAAGAGTGACCCCCATAGGCTCGTATATTTGAGTGCTTAGTCACAGGTGGGGTGGGGGGAATGGAATTGTTTGAGAGGGATTAGGGAGTGTGCCCTTGTTGGAGAAAGTATGTCACTAGAGTGGGCTTGGGGTTTGCAAAAGCCCATGCCAGACCCAGTATCTATCTTACCCACCCCCCACACACCTGGAGATTAAGATGTAAGCATTCAGCCCTATGCCTGACTGTCTGTTGCCATGTTTCCTGTCATGATGATAATGGACTTATTTTCTGAACTGTAAGCCAGCCTGTTGATGAAGCTGCGGGTTGCATTCCGCCACCCAGCTCCCGCCACCGGCTTGCTTTACCCGAAATAACAACACATAAACTGTATTCTTTTAAACAACTGCTTGGCCCATTAGCTCTAGCCCTTACTGGCTATTCTGATATCCCGATCAACCCATCTCAAACTGTGTAGCATCAGTCTTACCAGGAAAGATTCAGCATGTCTGACCTGGCGGCTTGCTTCATCGCGTCTGGCTCTGAGAGGAGCTGCATGTTTTCTGAGCTCTCTTCCTCCCAGCATTCTGTTCTGTTTACTCCTCCCACCTATGTTTTAAACTATGAGGGCCAAGCAGTTTCTTTATTATAATTAACCAATGACCTTCCTCCATCACCAGCCCCCAATTAATTTTTTTTTGTAAGAGTGGTGGGCATGATGTCACCTCACAATAATAGAACAGTGATTTAGACAGCTAGCATGCACAAGGTCCTGGGCATTATTTCTAGCAATACAAACACAGTAACGGGTGATTTTGTATGTCCTCTCAGGTTCTGATCTTGGATGCCCTGACTAGAGTTTAAAAGCAAAAGGCTCTAGTAATCTAATCTCCCACCCAGAGATTAAGATCACTGTCCTGCTGTTCTGTGGATCGAGTTCTCTCAAGATAAATACTTACAGCAGAATAAACAAAGTTCTATAGCTTTTCTAAAGTAGGAAACATGCTGAGAGAACAGGAAAATCAAGGAAGCACACATGTACAATCTTGGCAAAGACTGCAGGACTGCTGTAATGAAAAGTCTGAGGCATTGAAGGAAGAACTTGAAGGACACAGTAGAAAATGGGAAGATGCCTCATGCTCCTGGATTGATATTTCAAAAATGGATGTATCACTGGACTTAGTTTATAGTTTATTTCATTTTTCACGGAATTTTTTGAAAGTTTAACATTCATATGCAAGCACAAAAGACCCTGATTAGCTAATACTCCCTGAGCAGAAAGCAAAGTTGGAAGTGTCATTGTATAAACTAAGGTAGTAGAGCAGAGAGCCCAGATGTAACCCATGCAGCCATAGCTATATGGTTCTTGACTTCAGTGTGAAAATGTAGATTAAAGAAAGTCTCTTCAACTGATAGTGCTGGAAAAGCTGGGTTTGACAAGCAGACTAATAAACCAAGTACTTATTTCTCACTCTGCTGCAGAAAAACCCTTTAGTACATTGTGAAAAATGTATTGCTCTCATTGTTAATAAAAAGCTGATTGGCTGATAACTAGGCAGAACTTCTCAGGGCAGAGTCAGGAGTTGCAGGAGAGACTCAGGAAGCAGGTGATAAACATGCCATGCCGAAAGAAGGTACCACCACATGGCAGAGGGGAGATAAGAAATATGGGTCAATTTAAAATATAAGAGTTAGCTAGTAACAAGCATGAGCTACCAGCCAAGCATTTCTCATTAATATTAAACCTCTTTGTGGTTATTTGGGAGCAGCTGCCGAGACACAAGAGAAACTCTGTAGTGGCATGTCAATTGTATTTTAATAAATAAAGACTGCCTGAAGATCTGAGAGTAAAACAGTCCCATTGGTCAGCCCTACAGACCAGGTTATGGTAACACACACCTGTAATCTCAGTAGCCACACTAGTTGCCATAGCTTTAATCCCAGCCCTAGAGAGGAATATAAAATGGGGTGAGACAGCTCTCAGACGCAATCTCCTGAGATTCCTGGAGGCAGCTTGCCATTTCAGACTGAGGTTAAGGTAAGAGTCAGTGACTAGCTGCTTTGCTTTTCTGATCTTTAGACTGAACCCCAATTTCCGATCCTGAGTTTTTATTCTTGCTACAAAACTCTGCCTACATCACTCTGTATGAAAATTAATTCAAAATGGTTCAAAAACCTTGTAAATCCTGCTAAGACAAGAGGAAAATGTAGAGCAAACACCTCAAGAGAGAAATATAGGCAAGGAATTTCCAAAAAGGACTCCACCAGTACAAGGAAAGATTACAAGAGTTGACAAATGGGATTGTTCAGCCTTTAAAAGCCCCTGCATAACAAAGGAAATGATCAACCGGAAGAAAACAGCCTTGTGCTGTATGCATATCAGACAGGAGACGATTATTCCTAATATATAAAGAAGTAAAGACACGTCTTTTCCCCAAAAGGGCAAACATTAGATGCACAAATAAATTAAAAGACATTTCTCAAAAAATATATAAATATATGAAGAAATATCCAATATCCTTAGCCATCAAAACTATATTGGGTTTATGTTTCATCCACTTAGAATGACTATCATCAAGAAAGCAAGCCACAACAAATGCTAGTGTAGGAGCCTTTCTACACACGACTGGTGGGATTAATGTGGAAGGGCCAGAGTTCAGTGTGTTGGGCACACCATGGTGTGATATGAGCACCAAGGATTTGGACAGCTTCATCCTTACAGCCTTGCTGTCTGCATCCCACATGACTACTGCCGCACACCGCGGACCCCCGTCTGCGCTCTATGCGCTAGAACCCAGTTCGGGCAAGGGGCTGGAGGTTGAGGAAACACGCAGAGACAGACCAACACACGGACCTCCGATCGCTGGTACAAAAGCCCTTCTTTAATAGCACCATGGAGGCTTAAATACCCTGCAGTCAATGGCCAACAAGTGAAAATCCCATCCTCTGATCCTCTAGGCAAAGCACAGCTTCTAATAACTTCAATTAGAAGGCTCTAGACAAGAACAGCTGAAGGCCAGGACTTAATTAGTCCCAACAGACCACCGCTCTATATGTGTGGTTGTCCTTAACAGTTCATTTAATATTGGGCCACACTTTAAATGGTGTGGGTACTGCCATTAAAGGAAGCCAAGTTCTTTTCATTGGGACAATGAGAAAAATGACTTGAGAGCTGCTTAAGGATTGGCCCCTCCCACTCCAGCTCAAGGGTATAAGTCTGTAAACTCATTTGAAAGGTTTTACTTCGAGAAGAGAGAGCTAGGATGCCCTCCATATACAGAGCAACCTAAGGCAATGCATTGGTGTGCTCGGACACTCGAGTCTTTATACCTGAGCTTGTATTCCTAATTCTCACAGTATACCCACCTGAAAACAGCCAGCCAGCAATACATTTTTCAATGCTGTTGCCTGAATATGTGCTCACAGGACATATTTCCTCTGCTAATTCAACATCATAAAGTCACAGAACAGATTAAATATAGACAAGCTTGTACCTGTTTCCCAGAATGTGACTTGGGTGGATTCTGGTCTGGTTCCTCATTCTTCTGTCTCTTCAGGAGCTCCATGAGCACAGCCTTTCCTCTCTGTTCCTATCTGCATACTGGTCTTTGGTACTCTTGCCAGAGTGATCCACAAAGATGTTTACAAAAAGACTGCTCATTTGCATCCCTGAACCTTCCCACCATCCTCAGCAGACTTCTAAGCCTCTTGATCAGATGCTGTAGCAGCCACTCTCCTGGTTCTCAATGCCGGCTTTTGGCGCTCATTGGCTTTCTGGGCTGTGACAACATACTTGGCAGCAGTAACTTAAAGGACGACAGGTTTGTTTTGGTTCATGTTTTCAGAGGCATCCTGGTCACCAGGCTCTGTTTTTGTGTGGTTTTGTGGTGAAGCCAGAGAATATGACAGAAGGGAGTGCTGGGACAAGGCTGCCAGCCTCGTGCTATCCTGGAAGCACAGGGACGGGAAAATAAAGGGGCTGCAGTATCTCCTCCAAAGGAATGCCTTACATCACTCTCTTCCAGCAAGTAGGCCCCACCCCCTAAAGGTTGCACTTTCTCTTAGTGTACCCTCAGGTGAACACCAAGCCCTCAACAGATGAGACCGCCATAGCATCTTAGGCTATAGCCAGTAGAAGAGGTACAATAGGCAGAGCTCAGCAAGACTGGATTAAACATTAATGCAGCTGTCACCACAGCCCAGAACAGCAGGCGTCCCAAAGCCAAGTTTCAGAGCTGCCTGGTGCTCCTAGACTAAGGAGTGAGCTGCAGACATGGCTCACTTTGCGCAGCTCATGGCTGAAGTGGGCGACTTTGGTCGCTTCCAGGCACAGGTGACCATCCTGATGGGCATCCCCAATTTCCTGTCTGCCTTCTTCGTGTTTAGTCAGGTCTTCATGGTCCTCGATGAGGCTCACCACTGCTCAGTGCCCTGGGTCAAGAACCACACTCTCAACCTAAGTGCTGCAGAACAGCTGGCAATAAGCATACCCAACGACACAGCGGGCAGACCTGAGTCCTGCCTCATGTTCCAGCCACCTCCTGACAATGCCAGCCTGGAAGACATCCTCAGCCACCGCTTCAATGAGACACAGGCCTGCGACTCAGGCTGGGAGTACCCTGAGAACAGGCCTCAGTCCCTAAAGAATGAGGTAGGATTGCCTATTGTCTGTGTGTCTTGTGTGGGGTCTGTCCGTTCTCTGTCTGATCTTGTGCCTTTGATGCCCTCTGTTGCTCTGGTTCTGCCTTTATACTTGTATATAGCTGTCTGTCGCCTGTTCCCCCCCTTTTCTCGTCAGCCCGTGTTTCTGTTTGTCCTCTGTCTGTTGGCCCCTCTCTCACTCTCTGATTTTCTCTGCCTGCTTTACTTGTTGTCTATCACTGTTTCATTTTTTGCCTGTCCTTTTGTGAGCCTTGTGGCATCAAGGTACCTATAAACCGTTGACAGAGAAGAAGAAATATTTGTCAGAGAAGCAAAACAAAAGGAAGACTGGTCACAGGCAATAGACGATGTCTGGGAGCCAAATCCAACTCTGGTACAGTAAAGAAGACGGAAAGTTTGCTAGGATTCATAATCTCTGTTCTCTTACAAACTCAAGCACATAGCTCAGCTTCTCCTCCAGCTATCCCAGCATCCCGGGGCCCTTGGAAAGTACTCTTGTGTCAGGCTGTTCTCATTTCCAGAATGGAAGGATTAAGGCGATGACTTAGCCCAGGAAGTATAGGAAGCTATCATGGAGCCAGGCTGCTATGCTGAGTCCCTGGTGTCCAGTTCTGTCTTTTAAATTTTTTTTCCAGCAAAGAAGCACATGTGGGGAGTCTAGAAACTCAAGGGTGCAGGCTTGTGAGGGGGTCTCTGCATTCTCATCACGTTTGTGGTTGTAGATCTGGAGCCCACAGATTAAACATTCACTCCCCTGCCCCACACACACTTGAAAAAAAAAACATCCGTTTTTAAGAAGCCTCTGGAGACAGTGTTTTAACCAAAGTGAAACATTCACTTTTTCAGATGAGACTATAATCTTTCCATGTCTGGGAGTCTGTCCTTTCTGGGATTCTCCTCATTCTGTCACCCTCCCCCTTACCCAGGGGAACTAGGTTACCTTAAGGACACTCCTAACCACTGGATCTAGCTCAGCCTGGCCTGGAAGACTCAGGCCTCTCCATGACTCCCTGGCATGGAACCTTATAGCAGGTTCTTACCTTGATTATCCCTCAGAAGTTTGGAGAATACTTATAATTGCACAGAACTGCTCTGCCCACCTGGCAAACAACAGCATCTTTAAGGCCCAGTGAACCTTCCAGATTGCCCTGAATCTACTCTAAGCCTTGTCCATTGCATGTGCTGAATTGTTATGTAATTTCACTCAGCCAAAGCTCATCAGCAGGCCTGAATCTTCATGGCCTTAAAGCACCTAGGAGTCTGCTACAAACCCTTCACCTAGTACCATTTCTCAGTTTCCTCTATCCCCAGCCTTCAGCTGGGCCCTTCACTGTCAGGTTCCAAGTCTACACTACACACATAAGGCACAGAACTGAAAGGGAACAATTGCTGAAATCACGAGCTCAATCCATTTGGTGTATCTTTGCTTTTAAGTTGTTTTATTATTTTATGTGTATGAGCATTTTGTCTCTGTGTGTGTGGGTGTGTGTGCGCACGCATGTGCGCGCGTGCCATAGGCATGCCTCATGCCTGTAGAGACCAGAAGAGGGCATCGAGTCTCTGAAGCTAGAGTTATAGATGATTTTGAACTTCCATGTGGTGTTGGGAGTCAAGAGTAGGCAGTGGTCTTCACTGCTGAGTCATATCTCCAGGTCCCAATACATTTGTTTTTAAATGCATTTATTTACTCCGTGTGTGTGTGTGTGTGTGTGTGTGTGTGTGTGTGTGTGTTTCTTGAGGGGTGGTCTTAGCAGGCATTTGGTCAGATAAACAAATTGAAGAAGCCAGATCTCTTTCTATCTAGGTCCTGGGGACTGAACTCAGCTCTTCAAGTTTGGTAGCAAGTATCTTTAGCCCATGATCCATTTTACAAGCCTATATTTTGGTGTTTGAAAAAGTTTAATCCCCCAAGGCCAGCCTGGTATATAAAACAAGTTCCAGGACTGCCAGGACTGTTGTACAGAGAAACCCTGACTTAGAAAAAATAAAAAGTTTAATCCTTTCCTTCATTTATCAGTGAAAGAAGTTAGAAGTCTGCTTCTCTCTCCAACAGCCAGTAGTCAGTAGATTCCATTGAAAAATAGCCATACAGAACCTCTTGGGAATGAGGAGGGGCAGGATGGGAGTCATCCACTTTAATGAGTCCACCAAACGCTGGATCATGGGTGGCAGAAAATGGAATGTGTTGTTAAATGACAGCACCCACCAGAAGCTCTTCTTTGACCCTGGAGGCTCCATGGCATTGGCTCTCGCTCACCATAGATGCACGCACTGGGTCTTTCCGTGTTCTTCAGAATAGTCTCCGTATGCTTGACCCTATTCTGGCCAGGTCCAGCTTCTAAGGAATCTCTGACATGACGGCCTTGTGTGTCTTCTTGACAGGCTTCTCAGTCAGAGGGGTCATCCCTAAGATCAGTCTGGGTCCTCACATCAAGAAAACAACGGGACAGTGGCAGACCTCCGTTTCTTTTACAGTTTTGAATGAGCGCAAAGAGATCATTGAAATATACCTGTTTGCTGCCACCACAATCCCCCAGAGCTCTCTTGTCCTGGAATATCAAAAAATGCAAGATTCTGTGATTTTTCACCAATCCTCGGCTTCATAGATACCAAAAAAAAAAAAAAGGCAGCACAGGGTCAGCAAGATACATGCTATGGCATGCACATGTACACACATGCACAGGCACACACATGATAAATGAGAAGAAAAAACCAGCATGTCCTCACATGGACACTGGGATGTTGGATTGGATGTCAGGATGTTACCATTTCTCAAAGCAACTCATTTGATAGTCTGTGTCCTGGTCATCTGGAAATAGTGACCCCTTTATTGAGCAGTTGTCTAGAGCAGATCAGCCTGGCGACATGTCTCTGAGGCATGTAGTTTATGTGAGAGGGCCCAGCCCACTGCTGGGAGAACCATTCCTAGGCAGGTTGGCCTCAGCTGTGTAATAAAGATAGCCTGGGAACAAGCCAATTAGCAGCATTTCTCCAGGTCTCTATTTCAGTTCTTGCCTTTAGAGTCCTACCTTGGCTTCTCTTAATTATGGGCTGTAACCTATAAACCAAGGAAGCCATTTCCTCCACAAGCTGTTTCTGGTCATAGAAAAGCAAAATTGGGACCAGGACAGGATTGTTGCCATGCTGGCCCTAACCATGTTGCTTTGGGGATTGTGGAAGAGTTTGGAACTTTAAGTGGAAAAACCATCAGCTGCTCAGAGCTTAACGGGCTGCTCTGTGGGAGCTTGGAAGATAAGCATGTTGAGAGAAATGCTGGAGGTGGATGCATGGCTTGTGAGGTTTCAGAGGGAAGCAAAAACTATTATGGTTGTGTCTTGTAAGATTAGAATATATGGAAATGAAACCTTTGCTTTACTGGGACAATGGATGCTGGTCAGCTGGGACTAAAAAATCAGCTATGATTAATAGAGATTAGTTATAGTGTGAATTTGAGTTGGTCTTAATAATAAAAGCCCATAGTCAGATATTGGGGTAAATCCTGAAAGATCAGAGAAGTAAAGGAGCTAGTCACTGGAGAGACTTCTTACCTGTACCAAATCCTCAGATCAAAGAGGAAAGATCCTGTCTCTACAGATCCTCAGACTAAATGGGGCTAAGCTTCTATCTCCTCCTGCTTTACACTCCTCTCTCTGCTCAGCCATGTCCCTCTGTCTCCACATCCCTAGTGCTAGGATTAAAGGTGTGTGCCCCCAAGTACTGGGATCAAAGGCATGAGATCCCAAGTGCTCAGGTCAAAGATGTGTGCCACCACTGCCTGGTCTTTGTGGTTAACTAGTGACTAACTCCACCCTCTGATCTTTAGGCAAACTTTATTTGTTAGAGTACAAACAAAATATCACCACAATTAATTGCATTAAGGTGAAATCTTTTGCAAAGTATCTCCTTAGAGTCAGCACAGAGAAGCTATGGTCTGGGGTGGAGGTGGGGGCCGTGGCTGCATCTCCATTTGGTAAATAAACTTGACCATATGAAAGAATCTCCTATGTGGTTCTGATTTTGAAGGCATGAGAGATGCAAGATTGAGGGGTTCATGAGGAGCAGTTCAAGCCTGGAACCATGTGGCAGTATTGGAGTCCCTAAAGAAAATTCAGGAGAGGTCATTAGTGTAGGTTAGCCTCAGTTGCAATGGGGACCCCAGGATTGAAGGGGTCATGGAGAGAAGCTGACACTTAGCACCATGAGGTACAGTTGGAGTCCTAGCAGAAAGGCCAAGAGAAGCCATTGGTGAAGGGACAGCCTCAGTTGCAAGAGGGGGTCTCAGAATATTGACAATGCCAGGAGCATGCAATGAGCGTCATCAAGGAGAGCAGCATGCATAGAGTGTAGCCAGCCTGAGCCTACAAGACAAGCAGTGTGTGTTCTGGATAGTGGAACAGAGAAGCGGGGCTCCCCAAGCCACCAGAAGCCCAAAAGTTCATGAGTGAGTTCCAGATGTTGGACATCCGGTTCCTTGACTTTTGGATTTAGGCTTTTCCTATGCCCTGGTTCTTCTGTTTGGGAAGTAAGGAATTATATAACTTGTTTTTTTTTTATTTTATTTTATAGAAGCCCAGAGTTGAGAAAATTTAGATTTTTTAAAGAGACATTGAACTTTTAAAACCCTAGAATTTTTTTAAAAACTGGGGGTTTTAAATTTGTCCTGTAATTTTTGTTATGATATTGATATAAGATCTTGGGGACAAAAAGGAAAGTTATAGTTTAACATGCGATGTGTTGGTGCATTAGGTTGAAGGTGTCCTGGCTAGTTTTATTGTCAACTTTACACCAGTGAAATTTAACCCGGTGCAGTGGTGGTGCACATTCCCTTAATCCCAGCTCTTAGGCTACAGAGGCAGGAAAATCTCTGTGAGTTCAAGGCCAGCCTGGTCTACAAGAGCTAGTTCCAGGATGGACAGGCTCCAAAACTACAGAGAGAAACCCTGTCTCAAAAACAAAACAAAACAAAACAAAAAAACAAAAGCAAAGTGTGTGTGTGGGGGAACAAAGAAAGAAACCAATAAAATTTACCTAAAAAATAAGGATCCTCAATTGAGGAATGGTCTAGATCAATTGCCCTGTGGACATGTCTGTGGGGGCATTTTTATTGCTAACTGATATAGGAGCCCCCCACTGTGGCAGTGCCACCTCTAGGAGGAAATCCTGAGTGGTAAAAGAAAGGGAGCTGAGAGCCTGGGAGCTGGCTGGCGAGCAGCATTGTTCCTCTCTGCTTCAAGTGCTGCCATGAGTTCCTGACTTGACTTTCCTCTGAGGGACTGTAACCTGTAAGCTGATACTCCCCTAAGTCATTTTGTCTCATGGTGTTTTTCACAGCCACAGAAAACGAGCTAGGTCTTTCTGCTGTCCTAGAATTGTTTGGTATCCACTTTACATACTTCAGATTTGATATCCAGCTCAGCTTCTTCACCACCCCCTGGCTCAGAGGTCGCTCTTTATAATTAGTCAGTAACCTAGCCTGCTTGGGTAGCCTGTCTACCCCAGAGGTTCCCTCCTACCTAAGACTCTCCAGAGAATGAACACCTTTGCTACCTTTGGAAATTTGTGTACTCTTCCACATGGTAATCCCAAACTCTATTCCAGAGAGACACTCTTAGTGTGAGCTCCCGTATCCAAGGAATGGCTCTGCAGACCAAACCAAGGGGCTCTCTTTGAGAAGACACTTTACTATGCTGTGGGATGATGCTCTTGTACACAGTAAAGACTTGTCACTCATATGTGTTTAATAAAATTCTGACTGACCAGTAGTCAAGTAGTAAATATAGACAGGGTGACCAGACTAGGAGAGTTCTGGGAAGAGAAAAGGCAGAAATACAATCACCAGCCAGATGCAGGGGAAGCAAGATGACAATGCTTTACTGAGAAAAGGTACCAAACCACATGGCTAAACCTAGATAATTTAAGTTGTAAGAGATAGTTAATAATAAACATGAGCTAATAGGCCAAACATAATTTTTCTTTGGGACCCTTTCTTTGGAATGGCTATAGGACGAGCTGGGGAGAAACTTCTGTCTATACTATTATCAGTGGCTTCATTTTCAGATGGAAACACAAATCACAATGATTTGAAAAGAGATGTTTTTTTTTTGATAGAGTGTGTACCCTTAAAAAGGTTTCCCCTTCTCAGTGTACCTTTGCACCATTCCCTAGATACCTAGTAAAATGAAAACATGTCTGGCAATCCTGTCCACATGGACTGATGAAGAGAAATGGATGCACCATCAATGAGCCACAGCAATGTGATTTGTCCAGGAACTAGAGGCATATGAATGGGAGGGAGGGAAAATCAGAAAGAACAACCTCTTTTCGGGGTCTGCAGGCATGAAATGCCTAGCACAGGTGAGGGATGTTGGCATAGAGTGTGGTGATATAGGTGGGTCTTCTTTCTATGTGTTGCTTCATTGGTTAATTAAAAAAGAAACTGCTTGGCCTGATAGGTCAGAACATAGGTGGATGGAGTAGACAGAACAGAATGCTGGGAAGAAGGGAAGTGAGTCAGACGCCATGATTCTTTGACCCAAGATGGATGTAGACTAGAATATTTCCCGGTAAGCCACCACTTCGTGGTGCTACACAGATTACTAGATATGGCTTAAACGAATATGTAAGAATTAGCCAAGAAGAGGCTAGATATAATGGACCAGGCAGTGTTTAAATGAATACAATTTGTGTGTTGTTATTTCGGGTGTTAAGCTAGCCTTGCCGAGCCAAGCGGGATGAAAAGTAGGCCTACTCGCCTCCTCACTACAGTATGGCATAGGTAGGAGCCAGCTCTTGAAAGGTCCTAGGGCCAGTGCCAAGGAGTTGGAGCTCTCTTCTAGAAACTCAAGAGAGCCATTGATGGTTCAGAGAGTGG